GATCCTGTCGAGGAACTAAGTGCAGCAACTTATACCCCCTTGGCGGCATGTTCTTCCGTCTCTGCTTGCATTCGACCGGTGGTATCAATGTAGTATCACCATTGAGTTATGTTCCGATTATTTATCCAATGTATTTGCATGTATTACGGGTGATCGTGGACCCTCCACGCATGAGTGAAGAAATGACGTGTCTGGTGTGTAGTATATTCAGATGTCATCATGCAGCGTTGATAAGAGATTTTGATTCATCAGTTAATGGAAACAAATCTCTCATCCATTGCGTCAAGGAAAACCACTCCTCCAAGATAGAGAAAGAAAACCCATATTCCTCCCCTCCATCTCATCCCCTTCCCCTTCTCACTATGCTATCACATTCCGTGTTATGTTCATACAACACTCTCAAAATAAGCCGACAAAACATCCTCCTTGACAGGCCCCGCAACCGCCTTCAGCGCTTTATGCGCCTCACACTCATTATCATAATACTGCATATCCTCCAGCGACGCAAAGGTCGTCTTGACAGCGACATTGAACCCTTTGTTCCGAGGATCAGGGAACAACGGGCCGACAGCGAGGTTGGTGATGTAGGGTTTTCCGTCCTGTACAACACCATCATTTATTAGATTAGGTGATGGTAATAGAGAAAAAGAGGAAGGTTCTTCACCTTAACAGCAGTCTTTGCGAGGATCTTGTACTGCTCCAGGACGCGCTCGCGGTCCGCCTCGTTGGGGATTTTGAAGAGTGTGATGCGTTCGATTGGGGCCATGGTGTGTTGTATAGTAAGAGTACACAGTACACAGTTTGTGATGTCGAAGTATGTAAGTCGATAGCACTTGATATACAATGATCGTAACAGAGGAATAATGTCAGATCATATCGGATCAGATGTGAATAACTAAATAACCCTGTCCTCGTCCTACATTATGGAAAGAGGATACGACGATGCACCGGTTATACACGGGGCGGAGTATTTCCGCACATGGAGAACTGGCTCTTTCTCGGTATCACTACTACTACTGCCATGAGAAATTCAATTTTCAGCAAACTATTAGGGCAGTAGTGATTTATTATTATTTTATTTGAAAAAAAAAAGATATAAAAACTCAGTCCATCATACCTGCTTCCTTCGTCTATAAATGATGCTTTATTGAATGCATCCTTTACTAATTTAAAGGAAAGGTCCTCTCTCCGTCGGGAATTAAGATTCATGCTGAATTCCGCACTGACTATTACCTAACGGATTATTTATTACCCTAGGCAAGGTAGTTTGGGATATGATTATTACTGACCTTCTTCTACTTGTTTATCTCATAGTTACACGAAAACTTATCTGATCGTATTCTGTTCCGTATCTTCTTAATTGATATCTCCATAAATCATATCCTACATACATGCTTGGTTTTCTTTTCCCCCACCAGTCCACCTACGAAGTCGTGCACAAGTGCGGGTGCCCCGAATTATCATCATTCGGCTTGACGCCGATACCGCAGAAGTTGAAGTGCTGGTCGTAGTACACCCGGACCGGACCCGGGTTGGCGGCCCCCTTCTTAGAGTCCTTGGGGAAGTTGGTCTTCTGGCCTATTATGATGGGGAATTCGTAGATGTCGTGGCCCTTCATGTTACACGGCTTTGCGAAGTTCAACCTCTCGTTGTTGTAGAACCGCTTCGGGTATCCGCTCGCCGTTTTGCCGTAACCGGCCCATTTGGCGCTTGCCATGGCCTTGTTCTTGGAGATTTGGGCAATCAGGGCGCCGTTGTTGTTGGTCTGCGCTGCGTCTGTGGATTTGCGGCAGTAGTATATCTGAACGGTGGTCAGCTTGATTCTACTCTGTATACGCATCTTATATAGATATATTCGAGGATATCAATACTTACAACATCATTGGCAGCGTGGAGCTGCGCTGGAGTGCCAACCAAAGTCGCATTCAAGTTTTCAATGGGCTCGAGGGGAGCTGCAATCGCAGATGCCGCAAAGGCAAAGAAAAGGAGGGACTTGACGTTGACCATGTTGACTGATAATGAATGAATGGTATGTAATCTGATTGTCTATGGTCTGACAGGCAAGAAAAATGAATGAATGTACGTATAAATGAATGACTGAATGAATCAATTCAAACAGAACAGGAGTTCCTGGCCATCACCTCCATATGCAGTACGTACAGTACATGAAGAGGACTTTATATCTACAGCCAGGGGCCGATGGGCCTGTTCCACATCTTTCCATGACGGCGATCTCGACCAGCAGACTCACTTACTAGACTCGCAACATTAACCTCGTATATGCATTGTGATCATTATTGGAGTGACACGTGCAGAGCGCCACGGGGCCGAATAGAGAGCTGCGACCTTCCGTGCTGGATATGCGCACGAGATCACTATACGCTTCTAGAAGGAGTTTCTCCCAATCAGATCGGCAAACCTGAATATAGAGTTAAAAAGAAGCTACTTTAATTTAACTGAAGTTGCATTTGTATGCTTAAGTTTTTGGCCCCCTCGCCCCAACGTTCCATATCCGTCCCCACAGCGACACGATCGGATCTGCTATCGGGAAGATCGTATCATGGGTAAACTCTCTCTTTTTTTGCCCTTTGGTACAGCTACACTGAGTCATCATCCATGATCCTGGCACAGGAAAATGATGTTGCAGTCGTCGCGTAGCATGACTCAGCCTGCAGAGAACGTTAGACGGGGCAAACCCAGAAAGGAGGCATCTTGAACACAAATCTCCATCCTGATATCATAGTTGTATCAGTTATACGATTACATCCATAGTTAATACATCCTGATCGGAAGAAAAGAAGGGGGAAAAAAATGGCAGACCCGCTCAACCTGAGCCTGGAAGACGACGAACCGACGCCCGTCCAGGAGAAGATCTTCGCCATCCTCAACGACGTCCTGCAACCAACCAGCACCAACAGTCTGGACGACGCCGCCAGAGCACTCGACAACCTCCACCCAGAAAAGCGCCCTGACGAGCCTGGCCAGGAGAAGGAATCCCCCGACAGCTTCATCTACTCCTTCTTCCAGCCCTTTCACACGGTAGCAAGGCAGATCCCGCATCGACACCCGGCCCAAGACAAGCTGGCCGAGCTGGTCAAGACCCTCCGGGATCTGCCCTCTCGACCGGTTCACATCGCAGAATGGGGGAAATTTGAGCTCTGGAAGAGTCTGCCGCTGTTTGGCGAGACGTTCAGCGATGCGTATGATGTAAGTTCATGAATTGAATTGAATGAATTGCCCTTCATCTCTTGTTGCTACCTGCTAACTAACTACGGCAAGAGCGATCGCAGCAAGCCACTCGACCCGGCAGTCAAGAACCAGCGTAATCTGAATTTCCAGAGCTATGGCGCCCGCCTGATGGGCAACGGCACCGTCCCCAACGACCGGTACTGCATCTGGGCGCTGGCCGACGCTCTGGAGGGCCGGTACGACAGCGGCAAAGGCCGTCTCCGCCAGATCCTCACCGACCCAACGGCCGATCCGGAGGTGGACATCCACGTCGCCATTGCGGCCGAGTGGATCGCGCATGCAGGTCATGTCATCTACCGGAAGGGTCCGACCGTGGGCGGGGATTACCATGGTCCGCTGGTCAAGGGTCCCGGGAAGACGGCCTTCAGTCCGCAGCGGTGGAAGCTGTGGAAGGATCGGCTGGTTGAGTTCAGTGAATGCGACAAGCTCAGTGAGGTGACGAGGAAGATAGCCCGGGATGCCGTCCTCAAGATGGAGGAGATCGAGAAGGACGGGACGGGCGAGAAATGAGTGCCAAGTATAGGGAGAATGAATATTGCATCCGGACGGAGTTATGGCATAATGTACAGAATATTGGGAGAGGTAGTTTCTCGCATTAATTACTCATCTCTTGATGAAGGAACATTACTACGCGGGAAAAGAAACAGATGGCAATAGAGAAATCGTCATGGTCTCAATGTCGAACTGTAGTCTGAATGCCATAGAACGGAATACCCTGATATCACATAGCATTGCTAGACAACAACAGAGATACGAGTAGTCCGAATTTCACGATCTGATAGGAATGGGAACTGTGTTCATTAGAAAGGAATTCTCAAACTATGGTCCTGACTCCTGACAAAACTTGGCTCATGGAGAACCATTGTTGAAATTGAGTTTGGAATCGGAGTGTGGTGACTGTATATTACGTGTGAATTCATCGCTCTCAAGATAAGCGATCGATACTGCACCTCTGAACCGAGGATTAGATTCACCAGGACAAATTCGTATGAATTTTGCTAGTAGTGATCATAGCGCCATCAAGCCTCCTTGGCATTATACTGCAAGCACAGAAAGCCGTGAATCACAACTGCATGGTCTGGTCGCCCGACACCCTGATCCAGTGTAGTGGTTATCAATGTCTGAAGAGAAGAAATGGATGGACCTCATGTCGGTGGAAGCAGCCTCCGAAGACGTAGGTTGCGAGAAAATCCCTTCCGAATGCATCGCAGGGCGATTGAGCATCGATTCTATGATGGCCACGCCATTATCGAAAGCAGAGTATTATACCCTGTCGCTGTTTTCTGAACTCCCAGATGTCGTCTCCGATTCAGAGCCCCCAGAGTATACGTCGCTGCACGAATTGCACGAGAAGCTTCCATTCCTGTCGTGTGTGTCTCGACTCTCGTCAGTGTCGTTCGAAAGTCAAGTCTTCCAGACGACATCGAAGGGGAAGCAGGAGGAAACTCCGAGTCTTTCAGCTGCCTATTCTGAGGACGTTGATGATGATTATTATTGTACGGTGAAGGAAAAGCAGTCTTCACAGGGAAGGAACCGCGGTGGGCATTTTCTACGGTGAAGCTCCCTCTCTCTTTCCAAATTTGGATATCTCCTCATTCCTTCCTCTTTCCTTCACCGTTCCTTCCTCGTTCCTTGTATGCCATGCCCCAGTACACCTTTCCCGACGAATTTTTCCAGGTTCTTGCCCACAACATTCCTGAAATAAAAGCACATCGCACGCAACGCAATGGTGGTTCTGGCATTTCTGAGTTCGTTAAAACTTCTTCCCTCTGAATGGAGCAAAAAAGATACCCAAAACAGCGTGCTAGCGATCCCCGCTGTTGCTCTTGAAAATCTAATGGGCTCACAGACTTCTTCCTCTCCTCCTCTCTCTCCTTCTCTTTGTCCAGTCCCAGCCCATTGCAACCAGAACTGGACAACCCACTCCAGTACTTACATTTTTCGGCTGGTTGTTTGCTCTGTTGGAATTGCTTGCAACCGTGTTCGGAGGCCAACTGAGGAAATTCTTTCTGTTAGACTATGCAGCATTCCCCATCATAAATCAGTTTATATAAAAGACTGACAATTGCCTTCTGCAGGTGGATCCAGAGATGGTGGACTAGTTCAAATACCGTGCTCCAGGTCGCCATCTTAAGGGAACGGCTGTGTGCGTCCCAGAACGCCCTGCAAAAAGAGCAGGAAGAGCGGCAGCAAGAGCGGCAGCAAGAGCGGCAGCAAGAGCGGCAGCAAGAGCGGCAGCAAGAGCGGGAAGAGCGGGAGCGTGAACGGAGACAGCTCCTGTGGCAGATTAAACAGCTGCAGAGAGAGGAAGCGGGAGCAGAAACAGATGCGGCGGGAACGAGTGCTTCTGGAAGATCAAATAAAGATCCTCAAAAGGTTGCAAAAAGTTGACCAGAAGCGTCAAGACCAGCAGCGCCGAAGCGTGGAGCGGCCGCTCCGAGATGTTGATAATGAACTGGAGAGGGGTGGGACGATAATTAGAGATGCTTGTCGAGCACTTGCTGATAATCGTCCAGCTTAAATGGTAGATCCACATCTTCATCATGACATTGATCAGGTTTATCAACAAAGTTGCTCTTCACCATATTGAATCCCCAACTGGGAGAGGTCCGGAAGGCCTTCGGGCGAGAGAATGCGCCAAGCGGCACCAGAAGCCACGTTAGCAGCCATGAAGAGTTGGTGGTGGAGGCCGCGATTTCGGCGGAGGGTGCGGAGGGTCCTGGAGATGCACCAGGGGGTATGCTAGGGGTTGTGCTGGGGGCGCTGGGGTTCTGGCCCCAGTAAGAGCACTGCTCCGCGGTGCTAGATATGGCTTGATGAAGCAGGTGGCAGACAAGATCGTGCCGGGAGGCTGGGAGGAGGAGGCGGCGGCGGCGACAGAGAGAGCTATGCCGGGAGATGCGTCGGGAGATGGGATCGAGAATTGAAAGTTGTACAAGTGTCCAGATTCAGAATGAAAAACACAATAAACTTAAAATCTATCACTCAAGACCGACAGGCTCAGGCCGCGACGGAAAGAGAATCTTGTATTTGATAATCTCCACGATCTCAAGCTCATCTCCATCTTGGCCTGCACCCCGTTTTCCCAGCGATTGATCTCCGTCCACATGCTGCTTCTGGCGTCGCCGAATAACGGCCAGTGGCTTCGTGAGTTTCTTCACTTCCCCCATCATGCGCTGATACCGCCCCGCATAGAGATAGACTTTTTTCATCCATTTGGTGTCGTCAGGGTTCAGAGGCGAGTAATCAGGGAACATGAGCTTGCCAATCTCAGTTTCGAAAGTCGCGCCCGATTCTCCGGCAGCGTCATCGCTTGCTCTGGAGAGCTCCTCTTCGGTGGGGGCAGGGATGTTGATGGTGCCTTGCAGTTCGAGAATGGCCAGGCCGGAAGGCGTCTGTAAGAGCGGAGGGAGGGGATTGGAATTGGCGTGGTCATGCGAGGCCACGGCGGGCCGTGGGTAGAGAGGTATGGACGGCATTGCAGAAGTTGTCTGGTTGAATGTAGATTGTAGTGTAGTGTAGTGTTCAATTTTATTCAATGCTCGTGTGTTTGTTGTTCAAGCTTCGGTGGGATACAAATAAAATAATGGTTGATATAGACGCGTATCTCTGCCAAGATCGCGTCTTATCGGCAGTTCCCGCTATGGCTGCATAGAGTGTTCTCCAATCATGGAATAGTCCTGGATCCTGGTCCCCGAATTGGTTTGAGCAACAATAATAATAATAGATAGCGACCTTGGATCTCGTAAATATTGATAATCTTGTCCCCTCTGTTCATTAGAAAGCCGCCATGAGCTTCCATAGTTCCAACTACTATGATGTAGAACTACTATGATGAGTAAGTAGTACTCCTGCACCTACTTGTACAGCACATTGCAAGTGAATTACTATCCAACTTCACTAGTTTTTGATCAACTACCTTCTAGAGAAGTCTTTCACTTACCAAACAATAGAGCAGATTATTAAATACATGTAGGAAGGAACCAAAATGAAAATGAAGCCCTCAGAGCATTGTTGTTAATTTCTCCAGAGAGAGCCAGTTTTTTTCTTTACTTTTTCCCTTATCTATTTTGGATGCTGCCTGTTATTTTCTTTTTCTGGCTATTATCCATCTGAGACAGAAGCAGAAACGTAGTACTACAATAGCAACAATGAAGATGTGTATTCACTGGAGACAGACCAGAGAATACCAATGCATGGATACCATTCAGCATTCATTATTTATTGTTCTATGCCTATTGAGGTTGCTAAGCTATTCACTTCAGTCAACACAATGACTCTTCCTTGATCTGCGGCCATTGCCGAACAATCTATCCCTCTTTGTCACTCACCACGGAGGATCATGCGTGGATATAAGCCTAGCACATCCCCCAGACTTGCAGCATCTTCTTCTCTCAGAGTCAGATGTGTCTGCGGTTGTCTAGGATGAACCACGAGGGTCTTGGTTGGGATGCCACCTAGAAAGAACAAGCAATAAAGAATTGTGGCATTCTAACAGAGCGCCAACTGGGAAGATACCAAATTCGTCTTGCCTTGGCTGCATATCATCATCTCCTTCTTTAGGGAGCTTCGTCTAGTTCCGCAAAGTAGCTGTGAGAAAGCTGCACGACCATCACTGGTCTCTGGACATTGGCTCACAGAAACTTGCATCTCATCTTGGCGTATTGGCAGATGTGACTCCCATCAGTTGGTTTGATATCTGCTGTCAGACTTGTCATTGTCATCCTCTCGTGTGGCACTGCATGCATCCACCAGGGCTAGTGGCATCCGCCATTCTCTTGGATCCATTCAGTCGTCCATTTCTGGCCACTCTTGAAATCCTTCCTTATTCAGTACTGCAGATTTCTTGCTGATAAGCACCTAAATCGCTCCCTGAAGGTATAGTGTGTCTCGCTCTGGGCACATGTGGAGATTTGCTAACCGCAGAGAATGAAGAAACACACAAGCGGAGTCGGAGTCGGCGTCGAGCCCCATCCGCACATGTCACTGACTTGGGTGTCAGATGAAATCAGAGAATTCGAAAACTTCACACAGGTGCAGATCAATATGGCTCAAATAGCACCCAATTCTCCATTTGTCCCGACCTCCTGGGCCGCGTGGCTAGCCCAACGTCTGGAGATGAACGAAGAAAGACTCCGGCAGTTGACTGCCAAGATAGAGAAGAAAAAAGCCAGCAATAAGCTGACTGTCCAACCTATATTTGGAGGCAAAGTCTTTCCGGATTTCTTCTCTTCGGTATTGTCCAGACAATCGATATGGAGGCCTGGCGAGGTAGAACGGCCCGCTAGACCACAAGCTCCCTGGCCAGATGAGGACGAACTGCAGCACGAGGGATCTCAGAGAAGCAAGTCCGGTTACAGTCGCTTCCCACCTCTCCCCAGAGTTCCTGGGAATATAACAGTCAATTGGAAGCAACGCGCACCAATCGTGCCTTTCGAGTTCGATGTAGTTGGCCGCCCAACTATGGCAGACGACGAAGTGGCACCTGAAACTGACGAACGGATGCGTTTTCTGATTGGAAATTCCTTTCTCCAGGAATTGGAAACTTGAAGAAGCGAACACTCAAGATCCGGACATAGTGCGATAAAAAAAATTCGGGATCGTTTCTCATTTTTGGACTTTTTGCCTTTTCCCTTGTGGATGCTTGTCTATGTTGGAGTTTCTTTTCATGCTTGACCTTCTCGCCGGTGGAATTCCCACTCCTATAGCTGACTCGAAAAGCAAATTGGTTTTTATCGATTTTTCCCTTTTTACCAGGTCATTTCCCTTCTCGTTCTGTGGCGAAAATCGCAAGCAGTTTGTTGTCCTTTTTTTTTTCAGGTCCGTTGGGGGTCTTCAAGACTTATGTACGCAAGACCCAATAGGACATTATGGGACTTCATTGAATGACAATCCATTATTCTCAAAGCAGAACTGTTTGCGGCGTGGACCTCGCCAGGACAAATGATTGATGGTTTTGGATATCGGTGCCATCTCATTCTGGTTGAAAGCCCCTGGAAGTCGTCCTCATGACGTGTCTGCACGGTCGCAGGCGTCTTCGAGGCTCCTCAATCCTCGGATAGTCTCGTTCACAAACTCTTCTGCTGTGACCCCGGGTTTGTTGAGTTTGCCATAGCGTAGATCGCTCATGTCGCCAACAATCTTTTGTAGCTCTTCCAGCGTTGCCGCTGCTTCCTTTTCCGCAGTCGAGATCTCACGCTCCAAGGTTGCACATGCTCTCTCCATCTCGGATAAAAGGCTGGGGAATGTGTGAAAGGCCTCAGCTGGCTTGTTGGACCCCTGGCCGAAGAGTTGGAGATCCAGATCAATCTCGCGATGTTCGCTGTCATTCATCGCGTCAATTCCCGAGGCTTTCAGCGCTTTCAGCAGATCCGCCTTTTGCTTTGCGCCTCTTCGGACTTCTTTGCTGATGTTTTCGCTGACCAGGTCCATGTCCTGGGAGCGCAATTCTTGTAGTTCTCGGTACAGAACTTTGATCTGGGGATGAGACTGAAGACGTTTCGGAAACAGCTCAGTGAATTTCTGCAGAGATATGATGGTTGGCAATGACGCGGGAGACAAGAGAAAGTTACTGAGGATCGACTCCTCCGACGGCGCCATTTTCTAGAACACAAGAGAGGCAGGAAGCTGCTCTAAAAGATGACGCTACTAAAAGGGGATCTCGATCCGAATCAAATAGTTACTTTTAAGCAACATCGAAGAGAACTAGGCTTGAGTTCCGATGGGTGGAGCGACTGGGCTCAATAAGAACGCGTCTTGTTACAAGCAGGGGCTTCAGAGATGAATCTGTGCATCCAACAATCCAGGCAGAAGACGTAGAGCACAGTAAAGGAGGATCTGGGGAGATGAGTGAGATGTAGGACAGGGGCTGAGGTTGATTGTGTCTGCCTTAGTGTGCCAAAGAAGGGGTCTGGTCTTCTGGACTCTTCGCGGAGGGATTTCTTCGAACGCGCTTTGCCTCCCGCTTCCCGTCTCTTCTCCCTTCCAAGCCCAACACGCGTGGATTGAGAGCACGCCTGAACAATACTGTATTCAGGGCTATTCAGGACAAGCTCATTCACTGCCACGCTCCCCCCATCTTCTCCTTCTTCTTTCCCTATAAAGTAAAGACATACCTCGTCCGAAAGGATGTTTTGAGTCTGGCCTCGGATTTCCAAATCTCGGGCTCGGACAGTATATTCTTGCAGAAAGACTCTTCCATCCCTCGTGTTTGCTGTTTCGACTCCTTCTGGAAGGATTACAAAAGTTCTCTCTATCTTTTTTTATTGTGTGATTTCTCATCGTTCTTTCCTGTACAGCGTCTGTGCATCTTTTCGGTTCCCTGTGCCGTGGTTGGAGGTGCCACTTGTCTCACTCTGACAGTAAGGACATTCGCCTTTCAACTGTCGGCAACTTCTCACTACGCTCGAGGATTCGAGTGAGGTCGGGGAGCATCTTGCTTGAGAAATTGTATCTTCTTCTACCAACATGGCGCCGGCTAGCCAGTTGGTTTATCAAAAGGACGAGAGGGTCCTCTGTTTCCATCATGAGATTCTCTACGAAGCAAAGATCATCGACATCAGACACACCGATCCGGAGGACCGGAAGAGTCCTTATGAGTACTTGGTCCACTATAAAGGATGGAAAAATACGTATGTACCCATTTCTTTTCTCTTGCTGTATCATCGACTTCTGCCGGTTGCCTGGCAGATCTGTCCGTGTTTCAATATTGTGATTTGAGCACATTTCCTTGTCTGATGTGTTGAAAATGAATGTTTCAGCCTCCTTGCTCTCTTAAGTTACTTGCCCTCCCGAGGGGAAGAGTTTTCCTTGGCAGCAGGAAAAGATAGTTACGCTAACACGGCTTCTCAAAACAGCTGGGATGACTGGGTTCCCCAAGATCGCCTCCGTAAATTTACGGAGGAGAATCGAGAGCTGGCTGCGACTCTGCGGCGTGACGCGGAAGCTGCTTTAAAGCAGCGAAGCGGTAAAGGCTCCAAGAAAAGAGGCGGTTCCGACAGAGACTCCGGCCGCGGCAGCGAAGAGAGGCAATCGTCTGTTCCTGCAAGAGGCACCAAGCGAAGTAGAGACAATGAAATTGAAAAAGTATGCAAATCACCAATTCTTTCTCTCGCAGAATGAGTCTGTCTCTCGTCCCTATTATGGATTACCTGGTATTACTTGGATGCATTATGGGACGAGGTTGTCTGCATTGGAGAACTCTACTGATCAATTCACTGCAGGAGGAGCAATTCCTTTCACGGCCATCGGTTCGCATTACGCTACCAGACAATCTCAAAGCCATCCTGGTAGATGACTGGGAGAATGTGACGAAGAACCGGCAGGTTCTTGCGCTGCCTGCTCCAATTTCGGTCAATACAATTCTCGATACTTATGCCGAGGAGGAGAGAGCCAAGCGCACTAATCCAGCAGACTTGGATGTCCTCGAAGAGGTTATCGCAGGCATTAAAGAATACTTCGACAAGTCACTTGACAAGATTCTTCTGTACAGGTTTGAGCGTGAACAGTATCGCCTCCTGCGTCACAGATGGGAGGCAGGCTCAGGGAACTTTGCCGACAAAGGCCCGCTCGATATCTACGGAGCACACCACCTGATGCGTTTATTTGGTAAGTGGGACACCGATAGCAGATTTTTGAGTTCTTGCTCATCAAGCGCCCAGCTACAATGCCTGAACTTATTGCGCAAACCAACATGGACCAACAATCGACGAATAAGCTTCGCGAGGAGCTTTCCAAATTCACACTTTGGCTGAGCCGGAACTCAGAAAAGTATTTCGCCAACAGATACATCAACCCCAGTAGCGAGTACGCGGAGAAGGCCAATGGTGCCCAGAATCCGAATCCGGGAACAGCCACCTCACACCTTGTTTGAGCGTGATGGCAGTGCGATCAAGCTCTTTCTCGAAAGAGAACAACAAATCTAAGTCTTTTTGAGGTCTTTTTCCCCCCCTTCCTTTTCAGCGATGTTTAATGTTATCTTAATTTCCCTCCACATTGGCTCCTTTAGCAACCATTCAACCAAGCGTTGAACATTGACTATTGGAAAAACAACAACAAAAAGCATCGGAAGACAGCTTGCAAAAGCCACTTGGAGGGCCTATCTGATGTATTGCTTGGCAGATGGCCACGTTTTGTTAGTCATTGTCTTGTTTTGGGCTCTAGGCGTGTTGCGTACTTCAGAGTTAGGATTAGGAAAATGGTCTTTCTTTTTAACTACATTCAGCTTTATTGCTACCTTTCTTGGCTCTCTGCATTATAGGAGAAAAAAACTGTACGGAGAAAGAAACACTTGAAGATCAATTTGTAATGGAACCAATAGGAAAAAAGGGGGGGGGAAGTAATAAACAAGAAAGGAAGAAAAGAAAGACAAGGAAAGAGAAAGAGAACCCTGATCGCCAGATCAGTACTCTCAATAAACAACCAAGTTCAAAAAAAAGGCCAGCGAAACCCGTTCCGCTCCGTTTCGAGACGAGACGAGACAAGACAATACGATCTACCTAGGCAACCAGCCTCCGGGCATCCTCAACCGCACATCTCGCCGCACGCTTCAACTCCATCTTCCAGTCCGCTTCGCGCCACTTCTCCCACGTGTTCAGGCCCTCGCGCGTCTGGATGCTCAGGGTGTCGTACCCTTGCTTGATGATCTGGTGGACCTCCCGGGGGCCGAGGTTCTTCTTCCGCCTTGCTGGGATGGGCGCCGCGTCTGTAGAAGCGCCGTTTGTTGCTGTTTCGCCCTTCTTGGTATGAGTCTCCGGTTGGAACAGGAGGGAATGGAAGTGCGTGGATACGGAGATCAGGGTGTCGATGGCGGCGACGTTTTTGTTCCCACCCGCCGTCGTCGTCTCCTTGCTGTCGGCAACGGAAGGGGTTAATCTGTAGACGTCGCGGAACTTGTTGATAATGGGACCGGTCTCGACGATCTTGTAGAACAGGTCGTCGTAAGATGCCGGGTCGGGGAGGAACGTGTCGCCCGCCGACAGGGAGAAGGCGATCAGATCGACAAGAGAGGTCGTTAGGACATTGACTTGCGGATTCGAGGAGAGATCGGATGCATAGGTGGTTAGGAAGCGCATGAGCGAGAGCAGAGTACGCCAGAGTTCGGCCCAGTGATATGAGAGCCGTGTTTTGTTGGATGAGAGGTATGTGAAGAGACGGAGGAGGATGGCGATGGTATGACTGTTTTTGTTTGGTATGTCAGATTTAGAGAAGAATTAAAAGGGAAAAGAGACATCGGCTTGGTTAGGACAGAAACTCACCAGTATAAGTTGGCGTCGAGACGGCGGCGGAGATTGTGCGAAATGGTGTCGATCATGATGTCGAATATGACCGTCGCCAGGACGCGCTCGCCCGAGACAAGAGGGAGATATGGTTGCCGTTGCCGGCACAGCCGGACAGTGCGCTTGTTGTCATCGCTGCATATCCGCTTGCACAGGACCGGGTCTTCGACCAGGATCCGGAGAGTGAACAGGTTCAGCTCTGCGTACTGTGCGACCCGGTCAGACCGGTACGCATGCTGAAGCAAATAGGATGTCAACGACAGGAAACTTGAGAAGGGAGACTCCTCGGTCCGCTTCTCCGGCATGTATGTAACGAGGTTGTATCCAAAAAGCTTGTTTGCGTTGACAAAGTCGTATGTAGCCAAGAGGATGGCCGCTTCAGGCGAGGGTCTACAAAAGCGAGCAGTATTAGTTGTCACGTCGAAAAAAAGAGAGTTCTGGTTGTTACCTACAGCGCAGCGAACATCTCCTTCGCCTCTTCCGCGGTAGGCGGAGCAGGCTTTTCTCTGGCTCCTGGAGCTAATGCTCGCAGGCCAAAGAAGATGAGAGTGCTGGTCAGAGTCCAGCCCTCCGGGAGGTCGTCCTGGACGGCGACATAGCCGTTTCGCAACGCGGAGCAGGACTCCCCCGTTCCCTTGACAATCTTCTGGATCGTAGCCTCATTCACGAAATCATCAAGTCGTTGCTGATAGGGATTTTGAAACTCAAATTTGTTGTAGTTTGCCAACAGACCAAGGAGCAGGAAAGGCTCCAACATGTGCAGAGGGGTATCGGAGTCATTTACAAACTGGTTCTCATCAGCATATCCCCATTAAGTAAATACAGAAACTCGCGCACCTTCATGAGAGAAGGAAAGAGATCACGATGAGTAAAGTAGGAGACGAGACCGGTCTTGTAGGCTCCGCTGACCATCGAGATGGCCGTTCGGATAGCCTTCAGCCGAAGGTCGACTGTATTCTCGTAAGTTATTTCTATGCCTCTATTAGAATAATGGAGTTATCGACTCACAGCTGCCGCCATTGCGGATGATCTTGTCCAGGACGCCGACGAAGTCGGAAAAGACCTGATCGACCTCATCAAGTCCTGCTAGGATTGTGATGGTATCCGAACTGGGGTTGGTGTATTTCTTGGTCAAGATACTGCCCAGGAAGGCACTCAGCGTCTGTCCTCCTTTTAGTAGATGACTCGAGAATAGATTTGTTTAAAAATAATACGCAGGGATGGACTAACCTCGAGCGCATGCAGATCGTTGGGCGAAACTCCCGATGCAGCTTCCCGGATGGCCCGAGCAAACAGTTGCTGGGTTTGCGCCTGACATGAGGATCAGCAAAAGCTTCTAGGACCTAGGACTCGGGGGAGAAAGAGTTTTGAAGACGAAGGCTAAGGAATAGAGTTCCGCTGGATATGTCATACCTGCAGGCTCAATGCATCATCCGGCTTCAGATCATCTAAGATCCGACGAAGCTGCTTTTTATCTGGGGGAAGCAGGAAAAATTCTCTCCAAAATCCTTCACTAGGTTCTGTGAAATCTGACGTCTACAAGATCAAAATCAGTTCTGATGGCGCGACAGAGTTTCGAGGTGGAAGATGCCTACACGAAACAGCGTCTCGTAAAGTTGCACGATTTTGGGCTGGAAGGTCTCCGGTCTACTCTGCTGGGTCAGGGGTGAGGCTTCCATGGCTATTCAGGGAACTCGGACAGCGCTGCAGTTATCTAGAAGGGTACCGCAACCATGACGAGCGCTCCTGACACAGTGGACGACCTCTGTTTGATCCTTATGGGCTTCTTGTATCTCCTGATATTAATCGTAACTGGCCAAGTCACGGTTTAATTAACAGCCTCACCAGCCACGCGTCGTCAGCGGAACGCCACAACACGGGTGGCTCAGCCACAGCACGAGGCTTAAATAATCCATTCGAGAGGTCGTTCGGAATAACTACGGAGTAGGGGATCAATCCAGCTTCTCTCTCCTCATATCTGGCCGCGTCTTGTCCCTGAAGACCTGAATTGGTGATCTGCAGTCAAGACAGCGTCCTTAGTCTCTACCTAAGTACAGATGCAGTAATCGGTTCGCCGTCCCTGGGTACCGTGCTAAACCTTTCTCCCCATCCATGATCGATGAGTGGCGCCACTCACGGCGATGCGTAGAAACACCTTAATGCTAATTGGCCAGCGCCGCAGCACCGCATGACGGCGGCTGACAATTCCCGAAGGTCCTTCAAACCGACTCTCTTCCCGCGGACAAAACAGAGCAAGACAGACCTCGATCATCACGCTCAATCTACAGCACATCAACGGCATTTATGACAATACAGACCTGACAATCTCTTTCCTGTTCTGTCTTTCTTTTCCACCACTCCCTTCGGCACCATGTCTTTCTGTCGGGCCATTTGCCCTCCGGTGACATCATCCGCACCCATGCTCAGACTGGCCATCAAGCCATGCAGAGCAGGATGCGCCTGCGCGTCGCGCTCCTTTTCGTCATATGGGGGCATCTACCGATCCTCGAAACGTGACATGCAGACTGCGACGGCCTTCCGACCTCACACCCTCCCTGATAACTTTCCTCCGCCTCGCAATATCGGCATCACCGACACCTCCATTGCTGCCGATGCACCATTCATTCCGCAGAGGGGCACAGCACAGAGCCACGACCAGACCGGGTCTCCTACCGAAAAGGCCTCCGAATCAAGCTCAGATGTCAGTCTGAGAGAGGGCGAAGCACAGAAACCGACCCCTGTTGATTCTTCCTCAACCGCATCCGCACAGACATCATCCCAAGAGACGACGAAGCCCCGACGCTCTAGGCTTCGCCCCAGAAAAGCGGCCATGACGCTGACGCCAGCCGCCATTAAGCAGCTGCGCGCCCTGTTGTCGCAGCCAGATCCAAAGATGATCAGAGTTGGGGTGAAGAACCGGGGCTGCTCGGGCCTGTCTTACCACCTGGAGTACGTCGACAAGCCCGGCAAATTCGACGAGGTTGTCGAGCAAGATGGAGTGAAAGTCTTGATCGACAGCAAGGCTCTATTCAGCATCATTGGAAGCGAGATGGATTGGCATGAGGATAAATTGAGCCAAAGGTTCATATTCCGAAACCCTAATATAAGTAAGTTGCCCGCCAGATGTCTTGATTCCCCAAAATAGATACTAACTCCCTAAACAGAGGAACAGTGCGGGTGCGGTGAGTCCTTTATGGTCTAGTTGAATACTCTGTATATATGTAACGGGTCATATATTTTGTATTATGGTGCATCGGGCGGCGTTTTGCTATGGTAGACTTTGTTTGTCTTCGGTTTACATCATACCTTTATGGCTGTTGTTGGGTCCTGTGAAGAATTTCGAAAGACAATCCATCTTTGAGTCACTCTCATCTCATACTCTCTACGACGTCTTTGGGACTTTTTCAACTGGACTCTTTATGTCGGAAGAATCCGCAATGGTAATGCTTTGGTCTTGTCTATAAGGAGAATAGATGGATTTATTTAGTAGATAGACGAATCTCCAATTATCATGATATTAATTTGAAGCCGTCAGCGACAGAGTACTCCGTATGTCATCGATGCCACTCCCCATTTCAAATCAAGATATCACATGAGAAGCCGCACACGTGACAGCGGCCCGGGGTGACGTAGCGACAATCAGGACAACCTTGGATAAGACGGCCAGCTAGATAGAATGCAAACACGGCGCCTCCCCGCTTACCTACCGGAGAGGTAACACCCTCCTGAGGCCCCGAAGGACCTCCATTCAAGAGGAGAGAAACAATGGACAATTCACATTCGACGCTGCTCACATCTGAGCCCGATCCTGGGACCGAACTCCACCTGACAATCCGTTTCTCGGCGTCCATCCCAGATGTCCAGCTCGAAATCCCATCCCCTTCCACTACCACCGCTGCCGGACTCAAGCAGCTGATCCGGGCCCGGCTACCGCCTGACCTCGCCGATCACCGCCTGCGACTCATCTACGCTGGGCGGGGCCT